CTTAATCTAAGCCCTGTCTGTGAAACCAGGCCCTAGTCTCTTGTTTTTATCTACATACGTATCGTTTACTTGTATATTTAATCAAAAAAAAATTTAATAACATTTTTATTTAATCAATTTTTTTATTTATTTTTATTTAACCCTCTGGGCCTCTTCGGGCAAAAATGTATATTTCGAAATTTAAAAAATTATGGCTTCATCGGAATGAGATGACACTTGGTGACTTCTGTCACATTAGCTATGTGAACACACACACAAATCATGGACATGATTTGGATATGTTAAAGGGTCAAAAACAAAAAAGTCACACTTGGCTCCTTCGCGGTCAAAAATGACCGACATAGGAAATGAATGGGAAATACAAAAAAATACGAAAACTCCGAGAATCTTTTGGTGGTACAAACTACAAATCAGCCACTGTGCAGAACAAAAGTGCACAGCAATCAAGGGGTGACTCTCTAAAATATCAAGAGTGCAAAATAGACACACACACACACAGAAATGAACTGTTAAGACTGCAACAGAGCAAATTTTGAGAATATTCAATGATTGATTGAAATCATAATGCAAAACCTGATATTTATCTAACCAAAAATATTTAAACCTTGACAAAAAGTAGTCTTTTAGAATGTCTAAATATATATCTAAAAGTAAAACCTAATAAAATGAAGAAATTATGTCTAAAAAACAATGGGAATCCAAAGGCCTCTGTATACATGTATATAGGGAACTATACAGGAGTTTGCATGACATTACACAAGTTTTTATTTTTTTTATACCACCAGATCGCACAATTCTCACTTTAAAAAATGGATTTTAAATGTTTCCACTCTGCTTTAACATGAAATATTGCAGTTATTGAAAAATAATAAATAATTAAATAAATAAAAATATATTAATTCTAATGAAAAAAAAGCTCATTAAAATTGTATAAATACTGCATAGTATCATAAAATCCCCTCAAAATTCTAAATAATAATAAAAAAATATTAAACAAAAATGTATTACACTGATTTTCCTGAAAAAAAAAAGTTACATTTTAAGGCTTTGGTCACTTTTAACCACGAAAGAGCCAAGTGTGACCCCTAAACGAAGAGGCCCAGGGGGTTAAATAGTGTTTTGATGTAGGGAAGATTATATATATACTTTTTTTCTCTGCAGTATGTCATTTAGCGATTTGTTTCCAAAAAAAAAAAAAAAAACTTGCACACTGACATATCTAATATGTCATATCTAATATGTCAGTGCAATTGTTTTGTCTCAAGATGCACACCAGTAATGTTTTTTTTTTCTTCTAAGGCACATTTATAAAAACTACTTAATTAAATTGGCCTAATCCTGGCTTAATCTAAGCCCTGTCTGTGAAACCAGGCCCTAATTTGAAATCTTTTTTACTTTATTATTGAGTTTCATTTATAACTATAATATAATTTTATATTCTAAAGATAAAAGAAAAAAAATATTTCTGTCATGTGCTATCAATGATATGTGCCCTTTAACTGTTTTAGAGTAACATCATGTCAGAGCAGTTGTTTATCCACTAGGCCTAGTCTCTTGTTTTTATCTACATACGTATCGTTTACTTGTATATTTAATCAAAAAAAAATTTAATAACATTTTTATTTAATCAATTTTTTTATTTATTTTTATTTAACCCTCTGGGCCTCTTCGGGCAAAAATGTATATTTCGAAATTTAAAAAATTATGGCTTCATCGGAATGAGATGACACTTGGTGACTTCTGTCACATTAGCTATGTGAACACACACACAAATCATGGACATGATTTGGATATGTTAAAGGGTCAAAAACAAAAAAGTCACACTTGGCTCCTTCGCGGTCAAAAATGACCGACATAGGAAATGAATGGGAAATACAAAAAAATACGAAAACTCCGAGAATCTTTTGGTGGTACAAACTACAAATCAGCCACTGTGCAGAACAAAAGTGCACAGCAATCAAGGGTTGACTCTCTAAAATATCAAGAGTGCAAAATAGACACACACACACACAGAAATGAACTGTTAAGACTGCAACAGAGCAAATTTTGAGAATATTCAATGATTGATTGAAATCATAATGCAAAACCTGATTTTTATCTAACCAAAAATATCTAAACCTTGACAAAAAGTAGTCTTTTAGAATGTCTAAATATATATCTAAAAGTAAAACCTAATAAAATGAAGAAATTATGTCTAAAAAACAATGGGAATCCAAAGGCCTCTGTATACATGTATATAGGGAACTATACAGGAGTTTGCATGACATTACACAAGTTTTTATTTTTTTTATACCACCAGATCGCACAATTCTCACTTTAAAAAATGGATTTTAAATGTTTCCACTCTGCTTTAACATGAAATATTGCAGTTATTGAAAAATAATAAATAATTAAATAAATAAAAATATATTAATTCTAATGAAAAAAAAGCTCATTAAAATTGTATAAATACTGCATAGTATCATAAAATCCCCTCAAAATTCTAAATAATAATAAAAAAATATTAAACAAAAATGTATTACACTGATTTTCCTGAAAAAAAAAAATTTAAATTTCAAGGCTTCAGTCACTTTTGACCGCAAAGGAGCCAAGTGTGACCCCTAAACAAAGAGGCCCAGAGGGTTAAATGTCACTTTATTTAAATCTTATATACTTCTCCATGGCCACTCTTGCGGCTCCACACCCCAGTTTTCAAACCCCTGTTGTAGATGGTGCAGTCCCCTGATAGCGCAGCACAGGAGGGATGGATGCTACCTTGTGGCCGCTCTCGCTGGATACTTTGATCTGTCTTCCCTCTGAGTCTGTGCTGTCAGTGACTTGAGCTGCTGGAGGGAGAAAACTTTCATCTGGAGTGGAGTACCAGCCTTCATACGTGCCTTTGTAGAGGAAGCCTTCGCTCTGGAGAACCGTCCAGAAGTGTTCAACAGCCCGTCTGTGTATGAAATACTGCATCTCTGGAGAACATGCTTGAAATGCTCGGATCTCTCAGTGCAGAAGCTCAGAGGCTCTTGACCAGCATTACTGGCTGCCTGCTGGATCTTCAGACCATGTTCATCTGTACCTGCAGAGCATATACAAACAACTCACTATAACATTAGTATACAGTATCTCACAGAAGTGAGTACACCCCTCACATTTTTGTAAATATTTTATAGCGGCAACCTCCCGGTCTCTCTCGTGAAGCCAATACGGAAGTGACTAAAACAGCAATTCATCGACTGGCCGCTAGAGGCTGGCTCCAAAAGGGAGTCAGTCCCATAGACTCCCCATGTTAAAATGCCCAACTTTACAGCAGAAAAAAGTATGTTTACAGCCTGGTACAAAAAAGTATTTTGGTCTGTATAGCTAATTTTGCCCTTCATGACAACTGTGAGGGGGGTGAATTTTTTTTTATAACTCATCCGTTTAAATTATATTAAGCCTTAAAGTTCTGCATAATTAAGGGCGTGGCCACTTGAGTGAAAGGTGGATTGCCGCTGCTGTCCCCGGCGTCGAGCTAGGTGGGCGTGGTTTCAGCAACCAGCTCCCGCCTCTTTGCCCATTTTCGATTATCCGGGAGTGACGCGTTGCCAATATGGCGACGGCCGGCTCCGCCACCTTTGAGCTTCAAAACCGCTCTTCAGAAACCTATGGGTGATGTCACGGACACTATGTCCATGTTTTTATACAGTCTATGGTTAACACCTGCTTCCCAAAGGAGGAGCCGTCTCGGATGATTACAGTATGGTGGAGGCTGTATCGGCGCTTCCGGTCTTAGTAGAGACATCTATAAAGCGCTGGAGGCCATAAGCGCATGCGTGCGCCTCACTAACGGGTTTGTACAAAGACACGCCCCGTGGAAGCTGGACCGGAACGATCCCGGAGAACGGCGGTGGCTTGATACCGTCCTTCACGTGTCTTTAGTGCCTCCAGGTGTATGGGATTCTCCTGCAACCTGTGGTGCCAGGGCTTGCCGATAAAATTTTATCCAGGTTGGGAGTCACGCCTAGGCCTGTCACGATAACAACTTTTTGTTGTGATATATTGCCCCAGAAATAATTGCAATAAGCGATATTATTGTCATTCAAAAGACACAGGCGCAAGTGGAATGTACAAAACACGTTGACATTAATGTTTAAGTAAATATAATGGGCGATATATTGCGTCACCAAAAATGATTGAGGTCATGTACATATATTGCACGACAAGTCAATATATTGATGGCTCGTTCTAACACGCCCCCACATGTCTACGTCACTATCTGGAAATATTAGCATAATGCCGCCCAAATGTGCAGACAAAGAAAGAAGGCGTGGTTTCAGAAAGCGCAGTAGTGTTGACGCAGCCATGTCAGGGAGACGCTGTGTTTCAGTGCGAAAGCAAAAGCACTTTATTTGGCCTTCCGGAAGTAGAT